TAAAAAAATATACTTGTATTTTTTCTATTTAATGACATTGTTTTCTGCATATTATTATTTGTGTTCTATTACCCAGTGCCCTCTGCATATACGTAAGGGAAATTTTCTCAGCCTTACCCACTTCACCATATCTGATCAGATGATCACAATAGTGCTCAAAGGATAGACTGATTTTTACTCTCCCAGAGATAGATAGATAGATAGATAGATAGATAGATAGATAGATAGATAGATATAAACAGGCTGAGATAGATAGATAGATAGATAGATAGATAGATAGATAGATAGATAGATAGATAGATATAAACAGGCTGAGATAGATAGATAGATAGATAGATAGATAGATAGATAGATAGATAGATAGATAGATAGATATAAACAGGCTGAGATAGATAGATATAAACAGGCTGAGATAGATAGATAGATAGATAGATAGATAGATAGATATAAACAGGCTGAGATAGATAGATAGATAGATAGATAGATAGATAGATAGATAGATAGATAAATAGATAGAGATAAATAGATGAGATAGATAGATAGGCTGAGATAGATAAACAGGATGAGATGAGATAGATAGATAGATAGATAGATAGATAGATAGATAGATATAAACAGGCTGAGAGATAGATAGATAGATAGATAGATAGATAGATATAAACAGGCTGAGATAGATAGATAGATAGATAGATAGATAGATAGATAGATAGATAGATATAAACAGGCTGAGATAGATAGATATAAACAGGCTTAGATAGATAGATAGATAGATAGGTAGATAGATAGATAGATAGATAGATAGATAGATAGATAGATAGATATAAACAGGCTGAGATAGATAGATAGATAGATAGATAGATAGATAGATAGATATAAACAGGCTGAGATATATATAAACAGGCTGAGATAGATAGATAGATAGATAGATAGATAGATAGATAGATAGATATAAACAGGCTGAGATAGATAGATAGATAGATAGATAGATAGATAGATAGATAGATAGATATAAACAGGCTGAGATAGATAGATAGATAGATAGATACATAGATAGATAGATATAAACAGGCTGAGATAGATAGATAGATAGATAGATAGATAGATAGATAGATAGATAGATATAAACAGGCTGAGATAGATAGATAGATAGATAGATAGATAGATAGATATAAACAGGCTGAGATATATATAAACAGGCTGAGATAGATAGATAGATAGATAGATAGAGATAGATAGATAGATAGATAGATATAAAACAGGCTGAGATAGATAGATAGATAGATAGATAGATAGATAGATAGATAGATGGAGATAGATAGATAGATAGATATAAACAGGCTGGAGATAGATAGATAGATAGATAGATACATAGATAGATAGATATAAACAGGCTGAGATAGATAGATAGATAGATAGATAGATAGATAGATAGATAGATAGATAACATTCATTCGCAACAGAAATAGGAGAGAAAGTCTTAGTGTAACTTGCCCGATTCTTCTGTATGAATGAAAGTACAGGCAGCCAAATCGCATCACAATTATATTCTTTTCTTCTTTTTATGTGCCATGTCCTTTCCGGACGTGGGTGATCATGGCTCTCCACTTCCCTCTATCCCTTGCAGCTCTCAGCAAGCTCCTTACCTCTGCTTCCTCCTCCAAACCACGTTCTGGCATCTATCTGCTCAAGCTCGTCAGGTATGTCACGCGCTGCTTTCCCTTGTCTCTCTTTCCCTCTATTTGACCCGTGAGTATCAGATTCTCCAGGCCCTCCTTCCTCATTATGTGTCCTCTCTTTCTGATGTTAAGTATAAGTCTTCTCCTTGTTTGTAACCTCTCTAATACCTCATCGTTACCCACATGTTCGGTCCATGGTATCCTTAACCGGAAATGTATCGTTTCTTTCGTAGATATAATAATAAAATGAATGTGTTTTATGCCTGTCGTCTTACTTGCCAGTTCTACTCTCTAAAATAAACACAAGCGCCGACTGTGAAAGCGATCACCTCCCAGTCATATGTAAGCTAAAAGTGAAGTTATAGAACAGAAAGAAACATTTTTTAATGCCTCAATTACAATACATCAGACTCCGCGACGGTTCAATTTGTAGGCACACTGATGAATTTAAAAACGTCGAAGAAATCGATGACACAATGTGGAACATTATGAGGGAAGCATTATTGACATCGGCAAAAGAGGTCACACCATAGGGAAAATGACAAAAAAAAAGCAGTGGATCACAGAAGAAATTCTCTGACTAATGAAAAAGAGACAGCAGATAAAGCCAAAAGAATCTGTTAGATACAAACAAGCAAAAGAGGAATAACTCAACGAGAGGTGTGCAGAGACGAAAACCCTACCGAATATAAACATTCATACATAAAAATGAAAACATACAAGAATGCCTAAAATCTAAAATGACAAGAGAAGAATAAGACCTACAATGATTCAACATGGAAGTACTTGAAATATTACAATCATGGCTCTTCACAACTTCCTATCTTATTTAACTCCAAGGAAAGTTTCTCTTTTCACCATCCCTGCCTATCTCTCTTCTACCATCCATTTATACTAGCTTGCTATACAGGTTTTCACTCTTTCTTTCTGTCCCCCTTAACTTCGATATCTTCTGTCAAATTCTCCAAGCCCTCTTTCCTCATAATGTGTCCGAACTTTTTCTGCGGTCTCTTTCTGCTTCTAACTACAAGCGTCCTTAAAACTTTATCGTTACTAACATGTTCAGCCCATGATATTCCCAGTATCCTTCTGTAGAACCATATTTCTGTGTCTCATGGCTCTTCTTCATCTATGAAGAGATTTCTAGCATTCACTGCCATATAGAAAGACGGCTATTACATATCAGTTCAGAGCTCTTTTCTTTTTATAACGATTTTTTTCTATTTCTTAGTATTTTTATTACATTTTGGAAGGCTTCTTTTGTTATACCAACGTGACTTCGGATTTCATTGTCACATTTTTTGCCTTTTTTGAATTTTCATATTTGTTTCAGTTTTTGGCGTCTCCATTTCATAGTTCGTATCTTGCGATATTCCTCCTGCTGACACCCTGCCTTCTCACAAGTGATGCTTAGTCCTTTCTTCTTGCCGTCCTTACTACCTTATCTAGGATTTACTATCAATATTTGGTCAGCTTCATATCGTAATCGATAAGATTACCTAAGTAATAAGTAGAGTATCATTAGTAAAAATATTTGATGATGAGAGCACCATTTGCCGAAGCACCTCTGAAAATGGTCCGAGTCTTAAAACTGATCTGACTGCTGATTGGACTCTAACAACTCAAAGAGGAAAACTGATATGCAACTTTCAATACTTCTAAGTAACATTTAATCATTATCGATCTGGCTCGAGTTTTCTCCCCTCACAACAAATGGTTACACTCTCAATGAAGCCTCTTGCTATGAAGTTTTATTGGGACTCAAGATCACCCGAGACCACAAATGGAAACCATATATACGTTCCATCGAGAAACATAATGGCTTAACGGTCACTTCATTTTATCGCTTGAATTCTGCCATGTGTTATCTTTACAAGAGTCAGGTTAGACCAAATATGGACTATTGCTGGTTTATATAGACTGAAGCTTCTCAGTCTTTATTTGATAAGGTTCAAAATCGTTTACGCTCCCTTGTGGGTGATGACTTAATTCCAACCCAGAAAGCCTGGGTCGAAACTTCGCAAGACTGTCGCTACTCTATCGCTATTTCCATATTTTTCAAATGTTCTGAGAAAGTTCCATTCTTTATTTCCACCGGTTCAAACTTTTATAGTTGGCACTCCCACAACTACGAAGTCGAACCCTTCACATTTTCTCCGTGTCCTCTTTGTAAGGGTGAGGTCCTTCTAACTTAAATAAAAAAAAAACCTAATGCTTCGTGACTCAAACTCCCACGTAAATGCTTTCCAATTTTAAACTATTCAATCGCTATCTATCCTCCTTATTATCATTACCTTCAATTCTTTCAAACTACTCTTATACTTAGGTCACACATCTCATTCATTAACCATGCGTGGCTCTTGTATTGTTTGATCTTTAGTATTGAAAAATATGACTGCGACGAAACAGTGGAAGACCCCAGCAGACTCATAGCGATGTAAATAAATGCGAGCTCCAATGGACAACCAGCTTAGCATAACTAAATGTACCATTAATTTTTATTTTGTTTTAAGAAATATCAACCTCAGTGGGTTATTTAATGTCGACAAGATTTCTAGGACAGATTCTTATGAATAGAATATGGATTCTTTGTAAGAAACCATCTTGTAGGAGATTAGGTTTCATTGACGTATTTTTGTAAAGAGGGTCTTTGTCAAGAATCGAATGTGTTGCTGGTATATTTTTCAAAAAATGTATTGCTGGTAACATGTTTTTTTCAAAAATATATTGCTGGTATTTTTACTATAAAAATCCATTTTTATACTTACATAGTGTTTTGAAACCAGCTTTTTGGAGGGTTCACTATTTACCCATAGCTGGGACCCTAACAGATGCTACCAACCCGGGTCAGGGTGGACCTGGGAACAGCAGGAATTAAGAGGGGGTTCCAGGCTCCTCAAAACCTCCCGATCAGAGTCCTTGCTGCCGGGTAGAGTTTATCGTCATACCCAGAACGCAAGCGTGCCATTAGAAATCTAATGAACGTAGCAGAATTAGACCAGAAATAGGGCAAGATTTGCATGGATTTTTTCAAGTCACTGGAACAAGAAATGCTATTTTTTATGATCAAAACGCTATCAGAGCGAGCAGTGCAAATACAGCAAGACATATAGCTACGTTTCATAGATTCCACAAACGTATTTGATGAGGTAGATACAATGAGCAACAAAGGACAGGAAGTTATGGAGAGCCTTGATTGCTTACGTCCTGATAGGTTTTGAAATATATTAGAAAAAGAACACTCGCAGAAACAACATTCATTTGATCCTCATCTTGAAGGAAGGTCATGAAAAATCGGTCAGTTTTGAGGTTATATCATTTAGAATGAATTCTTGGCGTCATTCTTTTTTTTTGTTTTTCCTCGGCTTCATTCACTCGCTTTTGTGTTTATCACTTCTTTCTTTTCCTCTTTTTTTCATTAGTCGGTTGCCATCGAAAAGTTTTTTTTTTTTTAATCATTAAATCTACTTCGTTGTTTATGTAATTATTTGAACTCCTTTCTATGTTTCTTTCGTCACCGGCTGCCATCTTTATGTTGTACAGATGTTTATTTTTTTTTTCTCTTAGACACGATTTTCTTTTTTTTTTTTTCTTTATTTAGTCTTTCGTCCTTTTTCATTTTTAACTTAGTCTCTTTCTTTTTGTATCCTTACTGCTTTTCTTTCTTGCTTAATTTTTCTTTTTTTCTTTCTTTCTTTCTTTATTTCGTTTGGCAATTCTTTCTCATCCTTTTCTTTGCGATAATAATTTTCTTTCTTTCTTTTTCTTTCTTTTTCTTTCTTACTTTCTTTCTTACTTTCTTTTCTTACTTTCACACTTAACATTGTGTTGTAGTTGCTTTACCTTTCTACTGTTTGTCCTCTTTCTTGTATTTCTTTCTTTCTTTCTTTCTTTCTTTATTTATTTATTTATTTATTTGTCACCCTTTACCTTAATGCTATATTTGATTCTTGTTTTTTCATTCTTTCATTTTTCTTTCTTTCCTTCTTCCTTTCTTTCTTTTGCCCAATTAGCATTAATAAAACTTTTTTTAATCCTTTCCTTTGCAAGAATAATTTTCTTCCTTTTTCTTTCTTTCTTTCTTTCTTTTTTTCTTTCTCACTTTCGTCCCTTTTTCATTGTGTTGTAGATATTTTATCTTTTTACTCTTTCTCCTCCTTGTAATATTTCTTTCTTTCTTTCTTTGCTCTTTCTTTCTTTCTTTCTTTTTTCTTTCTTTCTTTTTTCTTTCCCTTAACATTGTATTTGATTTTTGTTTTTTCATTCTTTCTATCATTTTTCTTTCTTTCCTTTTCTTTCTTTTTACCCAGTTAATGTTAGTAAAACTTGTCGTATTTGAAAAGAAAATAAATAAAAGAGAATTAATATTTCTGTTTCATTTCCATAATTATCTATCTGTAACTTGTATTGTAATAATTTCACCGCAAGAAAGGTGATAAAGCCTCTAAGATGCATGAGGGTTACTGAATGTGAAATAATCTGAGAAAACGTTGCTAAGGAGAAAGGACAATAAAAGAGCAGCGAACAAGGAGACAGAATGACGTTACATTTAAATATTTGTAGCCTGTTGTTGACAGGAAAGCAAGAGACTACAGGTGCAGTATGGGAGAAAAAACTCTGCTTAGCCGTAAAAATACTGAGACCAATTGGTCAATTTAGTACTGAGCTTATATTTGTAATGTCGAGGTACCAACGAGGTAAGGTTAGTAGAATAATTGCCATGAAAATATATTTTTTAGAAAAGACACGGGAAAGCTACGTTGCGGCGGTGATAAAGTGACTGAATACGAGATGCCAGGTTAGGACCAATATCATTGCAGATTCTTCTTTGTTTTTTTTTGCCATGAACCGCTAGATGAATATCAGAAGTACCAGACGAGATGTTGAAGAGTTATTCAATGTACGGTAGAATGGCAGACTTATATAATTCTAAGCTAGATTCTGGCGAGGAAAATGGTCTCGCACGAAAATGTGAACCATTTGATTCTCAGCTGGTTATCGTTGCTTCGTAGTATGATGAACATATTATTGTTACAAAATTTTGTTTAATCTGGTTGTAATTCTTGTGAGGATCGAACACGCTACATTTGAGACGATTGCAAAGAACCTTTTAACCATTTGTCTCATAAATTCTCAGATATATAGCCTCTTTTTCACATTCTCCTTTATTCTCCGTTATTCTTTCATTTTCAACTTTTTTTCTTGTTCCTTCTTCTGATAAATCTTTCACTGAAAACTTATCACAATTTCAAAAAAAACTTTTCCTCATGGCAAAAGTCTGCCTTTCAATTTCAATGTCTTCTTTATAAAAAAAAAACAACTTTATGCCCAACGACCATCACCACCAACCGTCTACCATTTGCAGCTGTTGGGTCTTTGGTTCCTACTCCCACCTACTCGCTTCTTTGTTCTTTTGTCGAATTTCGACACAGACTGAGCGAACTAGTACACAGCTCTCGTATTGCTAAAGTCAACCGCGAACTCCCGAGAGTGTTTCGGCTGTGTTTTAAGTATTTTACAGTCAACGAGGGTAAAAAAAAAAAAAATCAAATGTAGACATATACAGTCTAACAGCTGGCAAATTTGGAAAGAATCGAAATTTAAGTGTTGCGAATATGGAAACAGTGACGTTTACGAATTATTTTGTGGGGGACAAACGAACCGAAGAACTTTATTTTGCCGTCATTTAAACCTCCTTCCTGATGATAATTCTGACTTTCAAGTCAACCTAGCCTGACCATCGACCTTAACAACTGTTTCAGGATTCAGACATCCACCAATAGCTATCTGATAATTCACATCCACTTACAGCAGTGATAAACAATAACACTTAACATTTACTATAAAAAAACACTAAACTTGAATCAGATAGATAAAACTCATTAGCCTGGAAGGACAGTACATCTAAGAGAAGGACAAATCTGATTTGAAACATGTGCTACTTTGAAGTGAAAAACAATAGATGGAACTCTTTAGCCATAGCGAAGGTTTCTGTCTAGAAAGAAAATATCCGATATAAGATCATGGAGTCGATATATACCTTCCATCATATTATCTGGGACAACTAAACCCATCTCATGGAGGAAATATACTGTATTAAAACCTGATTGTTTATAGATGATTCCAACCCCCGTATTGGGATACAATTGTGCCTCTTTTATCCACAAAACTAAAACCGAGTTCCCTTTACTATGCACGAACGGGAGACTTATTTAATTCCACGTTAAATTATGGTGAGAAAAATGGTCTGGTACGAAAGTGTGAACCATTTGATTCTCAGCTAGTTTACCGTTGCTTTGTGGTATGATGAAGAAATGATTGTTACTAGATTTTGTTTAATCTGGTTGTAATTCTTGTGAGGATCGAACACGCTATTTCCAGACGATTGCAAAGAACCTTGTAACCATTACTTATTGATTTCCCTCATAAATTCCCAGACATACGCCCTGTTCTTCAAATTCTCTTTTATTTCATTGTCAACATTTTTTTCTTTCAAGCTGTAGGCGGTCATGGTGACGTTCTACATAAGAGAACAAGTCGGCCGCCCGATGCTAGCTATCATGAACCTGCCTGTGAAGCGCTGGCTTGCCGCAGCAGATGTTGTCAGGTGAAGTGTGTGGGTGTCTCTGTGTCATGGAATGGTGACCCATGGGCCGCCTCAAACAATAATGCTCAAAGACTTTCCTTCTCATGTCCAAAGAATCAATAGAATAATACCAGTCTACGAAAAAGCAGCATCCTTCGAAAATACTAGAAGATAAACAGAAGAGACGAAGAGAGCCCAGAGAAAAGCCAGATCTCCCCATCCTCTGAACCCTCCTACCCTACCATGCGGTGGCTGTGTACGTCTCTTTAGATGCAATATAGGGATCTTCATATGGAAGGAAATTTCGATTTGCAGCCCAATTTTCAGCAATGAGATCCGTCAATGGCGAATACAAGGTGAAACATTTTACAGTTTTCCAACAGCGTAGAACTGGACAAACATAGAATATATAAACAAACACTTGCTACGCGAAAATATGCAAATCAAAATGAATTCAAATATAATATAAATATTTAATTATCAATTTTGCTTGTTGTAGCAAAAAAAGTTTAAAACCTTTCCTCGCAACCAATATTTGCAATCAGTTTCTTTTCACTCAATGTCAGAGACACGTGTAGCCAGTTCAATACTGCAGTCAAACGTCTGTTCTTTGTCGACTCGTTCTTTCCATTTTTATGGGGTTCAGAATTAATTTCAACCCGGAACTAATTTCAACTCGGAACTAATTTCAACTCGGAACTAATTTCTAGAATGACCGCCAAACCCTTTTTTCTTCACCGCCTGACATTTCCTGATTCTCACCTGAAATTTTCTAAGTTAACCATCTTCAATTCTATGTCAACCCTAAATTAGTTCTGTCACTCGTTTTTATGTACCATTGGCAGCCAAAATTTGCATCTGCGCAAAAATAATCTCGCGAGAGTGTACCTTATTCCGAGATCTAGCTATTTAAAATATGTAATTCGCGAAGCTGCCATTTCTTTCTTCTTTAGACAGTTTAGGCACATTCGAATCTTTATTCGCGCTTGGGTTAAGTTATTTTATTCCTGATTATATTCTAGCGTTACAAATAAAATACATGCAACTCTGGACCTCTTTATCCTCTACGGTTGTTCACTACACATGCTTATGAGATAAGAAGTAGGTTTATTCTTTAGTGTCTCTCAAGTTTTTGTGCTGAAGTGTCTTATTTAGAAGAGACAGACCCAGTATCCGCTTATGTGATGCTTGGGCTGGAAGAGACAGATGGGTCACTGATGCCTTATGGATTATTTCTTAGGGGTAGTGTTCACTGTGAATTGCGAATATCTGAACAGGAAAATACCAAACCCAAAATTTTCTAGTGAGTGAGGATCCACCTTCAGAATCTACCGTTACGATCAGGAGAGAAGATCGGCAGCTCTAGAAGTGTTTAGGGATATCTAATTCCTCAAATCTAACAAAATAACCAGACAATGATTGACCAAATTTGGACACATGGCACAGAGTATAAAAGCGTTAGTTAAATCCAGTGACAGGACCCAAAGAGTGTTTCCAGAACGTCGGATAGGTGGAGTGGGTTTTGCGGTCAAGAGCCTCCTTGGTGCATGCCAACAATCTTAATCTTAATGAGAATGTAAATAAATCTAAAAGACATGCCTGTGTAGCTAATCAGTATTTCATTGATTGATTCTTCGAACTGGTCTTTTATGTGCGATCGGATGAAAATAATTACTGTCATTGAAATCCGAGCTCCTTGGATGTAACTATCTCATACCAGTGTGCAATCCACTGTAGGTGAGATATCTTAATGTTGATGATGGTTGAGAAAACCAACTAGTTTTAAAGCGCTGGTTCGTTAATTAGGTGATATTGCTAAAATATATATAGCCATACTAGACAGACTATTTAAGGATGAAAGACCATCGATTTTCCAAGGACCTACTTTCATAGGAGCGCCATGAAAGAAATACCGGGGTAACTTAAAATGGACCCTCGTCTCCTGCGGTATGAATCACTATAAATGGTTACTGGGGTTGCTAAAAAGCCTTCTTGTGCCACAATTTTTCTTTTTCTTTTCCTAACTGAATATATCAGCAGACTCAGGGCGCTGGGGGGGGGGAACCAACACAGAAAACATGATCTTCATTTCAGCCTCCAACTTCGTTGTTGTATCCACCGCGGAAACAAATCCTTCCTCGCAGGTAGTTTTGTTAAGCACCATTTTTTTAGCGACAGATTGAAAGCTTCACGTGACTCCTATTTCGACAGATATTTCGTCTATGTATGCATTATGTGAACGTGGCCGAGTGGGTAGGGAATTAACGTTCAGAGTTCGAATCTCGCCATGGTTCATTGATCAAAATGATCTCTTGCTAATTATTAATAATTGTGACCCTGGGTTTCACTCTTTTACAATCATCCGACAAACTGGTTCACTTTTTAAAATTGAATCTATTTATGCTTGTTTGATTTATGTTTGGCGGCGGAGGGGGGAATCCCCTTCAGTGTTTGTTTGGGTTGACACTCTCATACGCATAGACACACATACATAGAGGTGTACGCAGATACACATCCATGCGGTCGGGCTTACATACAGACACATTTGTAATTCTATTTCGATGTCGGGACCTTAGCTTTTTATATGTAGCTATGTTCATTTCAACAAGGAGAGGGTAGCGGTGTCCTTGACGCTTTTCAGATCTACCGCCTGCACCGTCAGAGAAACTTACACTTCCTCATACACACATATACACATGTAGACGCGCACATACAGTCCTATTAGTCCTTTCACCACCACTTTGAATAAGCTGGGTTCTGTTTGTGGGCATGGTGATGATGATGTTTGTATTTTCCAGGCTAACTGCTTTTGTGTCGTTGACGATTGCGATTATGCTGATAGTGATAATAACGGTGATATTAATATTAATATGTTAATGATAGTTATTGATGTATTAACGGTAAATTTAAAGTTTGATGATCACAAAAGCGTGAAACCCAGGTTCACAAACTCATATGCATACAACTGAATATATATAATACACGCACACACACAAACAGTATACATAAAAATGAATCAGTTACATAAAATGAATGATATAACGGCCAGATTTAATTTGTTCCTGACGATTGCGTTGTGTCTAAAGCTCATAAGTTTGTAACATCTGTTATTTGACATCGAGTACGCCAGGCTTATATGCCGGTTCCGTGTAAGATACAGGTTCGATTTCTGTCAGAGGATACATATTTCCTATGAAAATTCTCGGACGTTCAGGCCGGTAAATGTTGTTAACACTATTTACGATAAACATAGCATTTACTTAAATATTTGTGTCTAAATAAATAACGTATTACAAAATATCTTAAAATAATTGTCAGACTTTGTCCATTTCGCAGTCTGTGACATATATATATATATATATATATATATATATATATATATATATATGTGTGTGTGTGTGTGTGTGTGTGTGTGTGTGTGTGTATATATATATATATATATATATATATATATATATATATATATATATATAGGCTGACATAACGATAATTTTTCTTTCTTGAGTAGTAAACAGTTTGATTCTGACAAATTCAGAGACTTCTGTGTGGTCTTAAACATACTTATACACACATACATATACATACACACACGTTATATATATATATATATATATATATCAGGGTGAGTGTATGAACGTGCTTCTCTGCACTTTTTTGTGAGGACAGAATTTGGTGTTACAGCAAAAGCCAAGTATTATCTATGGTGTCTGGAGATAAGGGCAATGTATTTTAGAACAACACAAGGGGGAAAATTTCTTTGGGGTTGACAGGAAAGGAACCAATGTGTCGTTGTCGTGTGTGAAATGATGTAAGAAAAAATAAACAATTTTGAGGCGACAGTAAAAAAAATGTCTGAAAAAAGAAACATTATACATACATACATATATATATATATATATATATATATATATATATATATATATGTATATATGTATGTATGTATGTATGTATATATACTTTTCTTAAAGAATTAACAGATGTTTTATCACTTTAAACGTAATCTTTATTGGATAATCGTATTTGAGTAGACGTTATATTTATTTATTAAACGGCATATTTATTTATTTTCTTTTACCGATCTGAATGTTCGCTGAATCTTATTAAAGAAAAGTAAGTATGTTCAGCATGATTCAAACCTACATCCCCGTGAGGAGTGGAAGTTGCGTTTAAATCCAGCATACTCTGACCGACTGAGCTACGCAGAAACGACGAATAATCCCTCGTCATAGATCTCTTGAAGGTTTTGCTCAGAGGCACTATAGCCGTATATATGGCTTTCTATCCGACATTACTATCAACAGCACACGTATTTGCGCGGTAAATGTATTTCTACACGTATTTGCATGGCACACGTATTTCTGTCAATCGCGATTGGCTGTTATTAGTTTCGCTGTTTAAAAAAGGGATATCAATCCAAATACGTTTATATTACGTCTCTCTCTTTACCTCTCTCTCTCTCTCTCTCTCTCTCTCTCTCTCTCTCTCTCTCTCTCTTGCATTCTTCCCTGTTTGGAATAGGATATATACATACACACGTTCTATATATATATATATATATATATATATATATATATATATATATATATATATATATATATATACACCGCATGTTTTGAAGCCACTCACAGAATTAGTATGGAATGAACTAGACAGAAGGGTGAAAAAAAAAAAAAATAAAAAACTCTTAGTGTCACTGAAAAAGAGAATGGAATCAATAATCAAATTTATACTTTAAGAATTTTTTGCAACGAATGCTACAACTTTGTGCTGCCGTAATGAAGATTAAAGGGAGGATATATTGCTGAGAGCAAAATTTCATCATAAAATGCTTTTTTTCTTTCTCTCATAATAAAATTTCTAATAATCTTTTTTTAAACACGTATAATAATTTTTCTTATTTAAACTACAAAATAACTACTTTTTTGCGCCAAGGTGTGGCCTCAAAACTTTGAACTATAGTATATATATATATATATATATATATATATATATATATATATATATATATATATATATATGCGCGTGTGTGTGCGTGAGTTTTGTGCGAGGGTGTAAATATATAAACGACGGTTTTCAATGTGTATGTTGTTACAAATTTGCAATATATAGAGCTATAAAACCAAGATTAAAAAAAATGTTCGATCAGATAGGAGCACACGACAACAAACACAAGATAAACATTTGTAAATAATTTTATTTAACATAAACAATAGAACATAGAAAGAGCATAGAATAATAGACGTAAAATCTATAAAAAAAAAAAACTTATCTGATAGTGAATGTTAGTTCTAGCATTTCTACTTCATAAATTTATATGCTCAAATGTTCATAATGGCAAATAAACAGAAACTCTTAAAAATGTTCAAATAAAAGTCAGCGGTTATTATTTCTGCAATATAATATATAAGTCCCCGGGATTTCGTTTCCCCTCTGATAATCGAATTACATTCACTACGAAATTGGAATGATATCTTCGGGTATAATATTCTCTTAATCTCTTCACTCAACTAGTCATATAAATCCACGGTTTCGGGAATAATATCTTTTTATTCACTACACATCGAGCAGTTGAATAAATCCAGGATCTTCGGAAATCATATCTCCTTATCCCTTACACAATAATAAAATAGGCGCACTTCCCATGAGCTCACGATGAGAGTCGATTTACTCGCGACCTGTCGTGGTCGGAGATTATCGGGAAACTGAAATTACAACACAAAAATCCCATTTCCGAGCGAATGTCACGTGGGCTTTGGTAAGCCACTTTTACTTACTCTCTTCGGAGGTCAATCTGTCTAGTTGTCAAGTGACACAGATTCTTTCCCGCCATTCCTCACTCAAGACAGGAAATAAAGAAAGAAATGAATGAAGAGAAGAGGAAACCCAAATAAAGCGTGTCTCTTGATAAATTGATCGTAATTTTGATTTAACCTTTAACATTGAGGGCCATGACAGAGTGTATACATTGAGCCCTTTGATGCAGTGTAAATACTAGAAAGCCTGTCTCGTGAGATCAATTACAACTTAGTATTAAGTCGGATCCTCATTGATCCCTCCATTCAAGCAGCCTTTTGCCACATTTAAGCTAATTTTAGTAAATCATTATTCTGAACGGTCACTTGTCTAGTTTTTTTCATACTAACGCAAGTGTCCTACACTGTTTTTTTTTTTTAATTTTCATTAATGACGTTCTTGATGACATCAGCACAACAATTTACTACTGTCTCGACAAGGTCAAAATGGGAGCCGATGTCCAAAACAAACTCGATTCCGTTTTTAACTGCGGAAAAAAGATGGATTGTTAATTTTAACGCCTCTAAAACTAAACTTTTATCCATTAATCATCTGAGATACCTCTCTCTGCTTTCCATCAACATGGCTGATACTAACCTTTAGGAAAGTAACCCATTGCGCCTTCTCGGGCAAACGTTTTCAGCTGACAAGATTTGGAAAGACTATATTGAATCCATTGATAAGTCAGCTACTAAGAATTTTGGTTCACTGTGTCGGGCGAGACAATGTTTCTCACCAGAAGTCTACCATTCGTTTATGTTTAAAATATTACTGCCACATATATGACCTTGACCTCTTGGATGAGATCCAAAGAATAATCAGCAATATTATTGGTCCTGATCTGGCGACTCAGCTTCAGCGACATATCATCAAATTACTGTTGAGCTGGCTAAATGTAGCCGTAACTTCTATGCTGATGCTTTCTTTACTGTACTTCTCATTTGTGGAACTTCCTTTCGCCTCCATGCTTTCCAACCAACTTTAATCAGCAAAAATGTAAATGCAATGTTAATCGCTATTTACAATCTTCCTGATCACTCTTTTTCTCTTCACACTCATCATTATTTTATTTGTTCCTAATTCTTCTACAACCTGTAACCCCTTGTGTTTTAGTGGCATTAATGCCTTACATGGAGTGATACGGATTATATATATATATATATATATATATATATATATATATATATATATATATATATATATATATATCATAAAGTATAGTTTTAAGGTATGCTATATTTTGTTAATATGAGGATTAGGCCATGGCCTGATGACTGCTTCAAGCAAGAAACAGACTTTCGCCTCTGAGTATTGAATTCAATGTCTAATCATATATATATATATATATATATATATATATATATATATATATATATGTGTGTGTGTGTGTGTGTGTGTGTGTGTGTGCTTCAACAATGTTTATCAATTACATTAAACAAAACACATGAAAATAAACATAAATAAATGCATTAATATATGTGTTTTGTCTATTAATTGTTCATATAGAAGTATATGTGTGCGTGTTTACAGTTGTGCCACTATACATACATCACTTTTGTGTGTGTCTACATATATGCACACACACCTAATATATATATATATATATATATATATATATATATATATATATATATATATATATATGTCTGATTGAATAAATTACTGATATTATGTCTGCTGATTTTTAACAAAATCCGTTCATGTTCACGAATAACATTCCCAACGTAAAAAAATTATCCATTATGGATTTTTTTCACGCTTTAATGCGCGCATGACCATGACATTATATCATACAAAAACATTCCATAATTGATAATTTTTTCACGTTTTAATGAACGCTCAGTACATTGTCAACCGTTTTACATGTAAAAGCATAATGAAAAAATTACGGTAATGGATATCAACGCATAACTTTGTAAAATACTTGTACTAATGAACAACATATAGCTTTGTACTACTTGCACCCACGAAGATGATCTTGGAAGAAGATCGAAAGTACTTAGGAAATTAAAATAAAAGAAATTTAAAAAGTTATAGCACATTTCTCTCATCCTTTAACATCAATACAGGAAAGGTTATTCGTGAATATGAATGGATTTTGTTAAAATTAGCAGACATAATGTCTGCAATTTATTCAATCAGACATGACTAAAAGAGAATTTGCTGCCTAAATACGCACAGACACACACACACTCACACACAGAGACACAAACTCACACACACACACACACACACACACACACACATATATATATATATATATATATATATATATATATATATATATATATATATAAATATTTGGTAGAAATGGTCGACGTGTGCTTCTTATATGTACGATAAACATTTATTAATTATTAACTATATGACAGAAATTATGCACGGTAATAAAGTTCGGAAGTTATGTTCGGAAGATGTGTCCTTCATCAACAAAGCGATATATATATATATATATATATATATATATATATATATATATATATATGTATGTATGTATGTATGTATGTATGTATGTATAAGCGAGATGTATATATATAATCATTTTAACCAAAGCAAGGTGCTAATGCCACTAACACACAACATGTTACTAGTTGTGGAAGAGAATGTTTAGACTTTTGTGATGAGTACACTTGTGTGAAGAGGAAAAGCAATAAAATATCATATATTCAGGAAGAGAGAATGTGGCAATTGACGTTGCATTAAAATCTTTGAAGAACAAGGGAACAAGGAATCGGAATAGCATTCCAAAGGTGAGTAAGATAAATAGTTGTGTCCTCATAAATCTTGAACCATCTGTTTCTGCATTATATATTTAGTAAATAAATAAATATCTATCTTTAACACCGCGTGAATAGTCATGTGTTCATACACGCATACAGGCGAATTCGAGTAAAGAAACTCTACAACAAACACACATAGACATACACACGCCCACACGTATGTATGCATATAAAATGTACCTGTTAAGAAAGTTGTCTTTCTTTTAGCAATAGATTTCCCGTGATAGAAGTGTATATTATATGTATGTATATGAAATGTACCTTTTAAGAAAGGTGTCTTTCTTTTAACAATAGTTTTCCTGCGATAGAAGTGTCTATTATATATATATATATATATATATATATATATATATATATATATATATGAAATGTACCGCTTAAGAAAATAGTCTTTCTTTTTAGCAATAATTTTCTTTCCAATGCTCTTATAGCGATCCGAAGTGTGTATCTCCCATAGGCTCCAGAAAAAAAAAGAATCCTTTGCTTCATTTTCTAGAATTTGATGGCGACGGTGAAGAATCAATCATTATGGTCTGCACCTGGAGCCATGGACAAATTGAAAACCTTTTTTAAAATAATATGTTTGGTAGAGAGTCAGAAAATTTACTGACGGACATCTTGTAATTACTATAACGTTGCGCGTTGAAAATATCCAGTGGGGTCTGCCCAGAAGACAGTAAGACCATCGACATTTGATGCCGTCGTTCGTTTAATTTCGTGAAGGCTTCTGGTAGGACATCAGTTCAAAATTATTTTTCAGGATTATTTATTTTGTAGAAGGCCCAAGAAGCACTCGAGGTAGAGAGTTGCAGAGTAAGAGGCAGTGTTTATATGTCTTAAACGGATATGTGGGAAAGGTAACAGTTGACTCTAGACTTGTACAAGTGAAGATAGTAGTTTTCAGGGAAGCGTTATCCTTGGAGTTTGATTCCACAGTGCAGCGAT